GTGCTGCGGATGACGACGTGACTATGCTGATGACGATGATCACGATGCTGATGATGACGATGCCGATGCTGCTGCTGACGATGATCGTGCTGTTGGTGGTGCTGACGATGATTATGAGGTTGATGCCAATGATGATGATGCTGCTGATGATGCTGATGCTGCTGATGTTGCTGCTGCTGCTGATGATGATGCTGGAGGCGTTTGTGGTGATGGGGATTATGATGCTGGTGGTGATGATGATACTTATGATACTTATGATGCTGACGCTGACGACGACGATGATGACGATGACGATGGCGATGACGATGCTGACGATGCTGACGATGCTTATGTAGCTGATGAAGCTGATGATGCTGCCGATGATGATGATGATGCTGATGATGATGATGATGATGATGATGATGACGATGACGATGGCGATGATTATGTTGATGATGCTGATGATGCTGATGATGACTTGGATTCTGCTGATGATGACGATGCTGGTGCTCATGACGCTGAGGATGCTCAGGATGTTGCTGCAGCTGATGCTGATGATGATGCTGATGCTGATGCTGATGATGATGCTGATGATGCTGATAATACTGATGATGATGTTGAGGATGATGCTGATGCTGATTATGCTGATGCTGCTGCTGCTTATGCTGATGCTGATGATGATTGCTGCTGCGGGTGATGATGAACCTGCTGCTGATGCTGACCATGATGGTGCCCAGGATGCTGCTGATGCTGCTCATGATGCTGCTGATGCTGATGCTCAGGAGGCTGCTGCTGCGGATGATGCTGATGATGCCGATGATGCCGATGCTGATGCAGATGCTGATTCTGATGCTGATGACGCTGATGATGCTGATGCTGATGCTGATGATGCTGCTGATGATGATGCTGCTGATGATGATGGCTGATGCTGATGATGATGCTTCTGCTGCTGATGCTGACCATGGTGGTGCTCAGGATGCTGCTGATGCTGCTCAGGATGCTGCTGCTGCGCATGATGCTGCTGCTGATGATGATGCTGATGATGATGCTGCTGCTGCTGATGATGACCATGATCATGATGCTGCTGCTGATGATGCTGATGATGCTGATGACGTTGATGACGATGGCGATGCTGAGGGTGATGATGTTGATTATTATGATGCTGGTGGTGGTGGTAGTGGTGGTGGTGCTATCGTGGTGATGGTGGTGCGGTGGAGGCGGAAAAGGGGGATGGGCGGGAAGGATATGATGGGAGGGATTGCGCTGCTGCTGATGATGATGACTATGATTCCGCGGATGATGGTGGTCAGGGGGAACTGGAGGATGAAGAGAATGATGACGATGAGGAGGAGGAGGAGGAGGAGGAGGAGGAGGAGGAGGAGGAGGAGGAGGACGAGGAGGAGGAGGAGGAGGAGGATATGGAGGAGGTATGAATCAAGCTTGTCTGAGATTGAAGAAGCTAGGGGCTCTTAGAAGGTCTGGTGTGTGTATTTGTGTGTGTGTGCGCGCGCGTGCGTGTGTGTGTGCGTGTGTGTGTGAATGCGTGTGTGGGGTGTTCAGGAGACCTTGATGGTTTCAGGAGGTCTTGCGGGTTTCAAGGGGAGGATGAAAAGGAAGCGGAAGACGGACCAGTGGGAGGAATCGGATGACTTGATGCTGGAGATGACGGTGATGCTGATGCTGATGCTGAGGATGATGATGATGCTGATGATGATGATGATGATGGTGATGACGTTGATGATGATGATGATGATGATGATGATGATGATGATGATCATTATGCTGATGATTATGACGTCGAGGACGCTGATGATGATATTATGTTTCTGATGAGGATGATGGATCTTATGACGATGATGCTACTGCGGATGATGATGACGATGATGATGATTAGGATGAGGACGATGACGCTGATGCTGATTATGATGATGATGATGGTGGTGGTGGTGGTGGTGGTCGTGATGTTGGTGGTGGTGGTGGTGATGCTGATGATGATGGTGAGGATGCTGATGACGATGATCATGATGGTGATGATGCTGATGATGGGGATGGTGACGACGACGATGCGATGAAGATGGCGTTTGCAACGAGGGTGATGATGTTGCTGCTGCTGCTGGTGATGATGCTGCTGATGCTGACGGTGCTGACGGTGCTGATTGTGGTACGAGTGAGGATAGTGATGGTGATGGTGAGGGTGAGGGTAATGCTGATGCTGATGCGGACGTCATGCAGATGATGCTGATGATGCTGATGGTGATGGTGACGGTGATTGTGATAAGGATGCAGGTGGTGATGATGATGATGACGACGATGATAATGATGCTGATGCTGATGTTGATGATGATGCAAATGGTGGTGGTGATGGTGGTGGCGATGCTGCGGATGATGATGATGATGATGATGATGATGATGATGATGATGATGATGATGATGACGGTGATTGGTTTTGCGACGATGATCATGATGATGATAATGCTGATGCTGCTGCTGATGATCTAATGACGATGGTGATGATGATGATGACGACGATGATGATGCTGCTGAAGATGATGATGATGATGATGATGATGATGATGATGATGATGATGATGATGATGATGATGATGATGATGGTGATGATGATGACGATGACTGTGATGGTGACGGTGATAAGGATGATGGTGATGATGATGATGGTGGTGGTGATGGTAGTAGTTGTGGGGAGTGGGAGGATGAGGATGAGTGTGAATATTCGAAGGCGCAGGAGGATGTAAAGGAGTGGGAGGAGGAAGGGGAGGTCGAGGAGGAATCATAGGAGGAGCAGTGCGGGGGCGAGGAGGAGGAGGAGGACGAGGAGAATGAGGAGGACGAGGGTACGATGAGCTCGCTGCTTGGTTCGAGCTTTCGCTGGGGCTCGTCGCCGCCCTCACCAGGCTTTCGGCGCGCTGCGCCGGGAGAAGTGCCCATGTTCTCCTGCTGCTCCCCGCCGTCGCGACCGCAGGAGGCTCCGAGTCCCGCTCCTCCTTGTCCTCCCACCTTCTCCCTCCTCCTCCCTTCTCCTCCCTCCTCCGTCCCTTTTCCTCCTTTTCCTCCTCCTCTTTCCCTTCCCTTCTCCTCCTCCTCTTCCTCCCTCTTCCATCCTTCTCCTCGTCCTCCTCCCAGCCCCACCCCCATTCGGAACCCTCCTGGAGCCGCTTTAGAGGCGATACCGAAGCAAGTGCTCCACTTTTGAGTCAAAAGCGAGGGCTCCACTTTTGAGACTTACTTCCTCGCAATTCGGCAGCGCAGGGATCGTGTTTGCAAGGGATCGTGGCTTCGGAGACGCGAATATGGTAATTTACGAAGGATTATGAGCTCGGGGGTGCGAATTTTGTAATTTACAGCAGTCGTGGCCTCGGAGACGCGAGCGTGGTGAATCTGCAAGGGATCGTGGGTTTGGAGATGCGAATGGGATTATTTGCTAGAGATCGTGGCGCCGGAGACGCGAATCTTGTTTGATTGATGTGAGGTCGTGTCCTCGGGGATGCGAATGCTAAGGTTGCAAAACGGGGTCGTGGCTTCGGAGACGCGGTGATGGCGTGATTTGCGCGGGATCGTGGCCTCTTAGACGCGAGTGCGGGATACTTTGCATGGGATCGTGGCTTTGGAGACGCAACTGTTATACGTTGGGATGGATCGTGGATTCGGGGGTGCGAGCATGGTGTAATTTGCGAAGGATCGTGGCCGCGGAGACGCGAGTATGGTGAATCTACAAGGGATCGTGTCTTTGGAGACGCGAATGCGGGATCATTTGCTGGAGATCGTTGCTTCGGATACGCGAATCTTGTTTAGTTTCCGTGGGGTCGTGTCCTCGAGGATGCGAATAATAAGGCGTAGTTCGCAAAAGGGAACGTGGCTTCGTAGACGCGGGTATGGCGTGATTTACGCGGGATCGTGGCTTCGGGGACGCGAGCAAGGTATACTGTGCATGGGAACGTGGCTGCGGAGGCGCGAATATGGAGTAATTTGCAAGCGGTCGTGGCGTCGGGGGCGAATCTATTGATTCATCTAGGGATGATGGTGGCCTCTGGGGTGCGGGTGCTGCGTCATTTGCCAAGGATCGTGGTGTCGGGGGCGCGAATCTGGCGTAATTCACAAAAAGGTGTCGTGGACGTGAGCATTGCATGCTTTGCGCATAATTGTGGCCTCGGGGGCGAAAGCACTGTGTAATTTGCAGGTGATCGTGGCTTCGGGTACGGAGACATTCTACAATTTACAGGGGATCGTGGCCTCGGGAACGTGAACACGCTGTAGTTTGAGAAGGGTCGTGCGTGGCCTCGGAGATGCGAGCATCGTGTAATTTACTAGGGATCGTGGCCTCGGAAACACGAGTGTGGCATACATTATTAGGGATCGTTGCCCCAGGGACGCGAGAATGGTGTAATTTGAAAAGTACCGTGGCCTCGGAGACGCGAGCATTCCGTAATTTACGTGGAGCCGTGCTCGGAGACGCGAACATCGTATAATTTACTAGGGGTCATTGCCCCGGGGACGCGAACATTGCGTAGTCCACTGGGGAACTTTCAAGGGCGCGACTAATTGTACGTTGCTCCGGGTCGTGGCCTCGGATGCGCGAGCACCGCGTATTTCAGAGGGCTCGTGGCCTCGGAGGTGCGAGCAGGTGCATCTTACCGGGGATCGTGGCCTCGGGGGCGCGAAGATGGCACAGTTGATAAAGGTCTTGGCCTCGGAAACGCGAAGACTGTAATCCACAGAAGGCATCGTTGCCTCGGGGGCGCAGCTGTGGTGTCATTTGTCAGGGACCGTGGTCTCGGGGACGCGAGACTGGCGCAGTTTGAAACGGATCGTGGCCTCGGAGACGCGAGCACCGCGTAAGTTTCGACGGATCGTGCCCTCGGAAACGTGAATGCCGCGTACTGTATTCGGGATCGTGGCCACGGGGGCACGGGCCTTGTATGCCAGGGACGCATTTTTTGATGCGGTGTACGAAGGGATCGTGGGTTCGGGGGCGCGGACATGGGAATTTACTAAGGATCGTGGCCTCGGGGGCGAATCTGGCGTGATTTGCGCGGGATCGTGGCCTCGGGGTTGCAAATATAGGTTAGTTTGCGAGGGGTTGTTGGCTCGGAGATGCAAGTGTTGCTCAATTTGCTAGGGGTCGTGGCGTCGGGGACGTGAATACTACACAATGTAATAATGCATGTGGCCTCGGGGGCGCGAGTACGGCGCACTTTGCAAAAAGGACCGTGGGCTCGTGGGCGGGAAGGTTGTGCAATTCGCAGAAGCGGATCGCGGCTTCGGAGATGCGAGCATGGTATATCGTACCAGGAGTTGTGGCCTCGGGGGGCGCGAATGTAAAGTAGTTTGCCAGCGATCGTGGCGTTGGCAACGTTCGTCGCATAATCTGCGAACGTTTGTGGCCTCGGGGACGCGGCCACGTTGGAATTTGTGGCCTCGGCGCAAATGTAGCAGGAACGTGGCCCAGGGAACGCGAACATAGAGTGCTCTATAAAGAGTCGTGGCCTCAGAGTCGCGAGCATCGCGTGATTTACAAGGGATCGTGGCCTCGGGGGCAGATATGGAGTAATTTGCAAGGGATCGTGGCCTTCGGGGCGCGGACCTAATGCATGTTGACGTGTCCATGCCGCCGCAGGAATTTAGGCAACGCGAGTTGGGCGTGGTAAAGCTGGTTTGCCCCCCCCCCCCCCCCCCCCCCCTCGCGCGGACTTCAACAATTTACAAGAGGAGAAAGTAGAGAGTAGGATTATAATCTTGGGAGATTTGAAACTGCAGCTGGAGCAGGGAGCAGCAGGCCTAGCCCACCACGCAGTCTGACGGTCCCGCAAGAGGGCCAGCGGATTAGAACATTTTGCGGGAGGCTGGGGTCAACGCGCTTCCGAACCAAATAACAAATTATGGCGTTTTGCTGGAGGGTGGGATGGGCGCGTGTCCCACAGAATTTCGATTGCCAGATCAAATAGAGATGACATATTCTGCGGAGGGCGGGGGCCAGCGCGTGTCCTACTGAATGCCGATTGCCGAGCACATGAGATATCAGAGAATTCAGCGGGAGCCTGGGCCAGCGCATGTCCGGCTGACCTTTCTCACTCCCCACCCTGCCCGGGTGGTTGTGCGCGGTCGGTCCAGTGTGGTCCCGCGTTGGGGGGCCCGGCTGCGCGCGTCTGTCCAGCGCCGTCTGCTCGACCTGCTCCGCCGCGGCGCTGCACGCGAGGCTGCGAACGCCAAAAGTGTGTGTGAGATGGTGATGTTGCTGCTGATGACGACGATGATGCTGCTGCTGGTGATGATGGTGATGATTCGTATTATGGAGATGACGGTGCCGACGACGACGAGGATGATGATAATGAATGTGATGATGATGGTGATGATGATGATTGTGATGGTGATGACGCCGACGATGATGATGATGGTGATGATGATGATGCTGATCATCATGATGCTGCTGATGATGATGGTGAGGATGATGATGAGGATGATGATGATGGTGATGATGATGAGGATGATGATGAGGATGGTGATGATGATGGTGATGATGAGGATGATGATGATGATGGGGCTGCTGATGTTGCTTATGATGGTAGTGCTGATTATGTATGCGTGTGATGGCGACGGCGATGACGACGACTATGCGACGAAGGTGGCATTGACAACTAGGGTGATGATGTTTCTGAAGTTGATGATGGTGATGCTGATACAGATGTTGTTGTTGATGATGATGATGATGATGCTGACGGTGCTGACGGTGATGAGTATGGCGTTGCTGAGGGTAGTGATGGTGATGGTGAGGATGAGGGTGATGCTGATGCTGATGCGGATGCCATGTCGATGATGCTGATGATGCTGATGGTGACGGTGACGGTGATCGTGATATTAATGATGGAGGCGCTGCTGCTGCTGATGATGATGCTGATGCTGATGACGACGATGCTGATGATGATGATGATGATGATGATGATGATGATGATGTTGATGCTGATGATGATGGTGATGCTGATGCTGCTGATGCTGATGCTGTCGCTGCTGCTGGCGATGATGCTGATGCTGATGCTGATGCTGATGATGATGATGATGATGCTGCTGGTGACGATGATGCTGATGATGCTGCTGATGATGATGCTGATGCTAGCGGTGCTTATGATAATGCATTGATGATGATGCTGCTGACGATGATGATTATGATGATGATGCTGCTGATGATGATGATGGTGATGATTTTGATGATGATGATGATGATGAGGAGGAGGAGGAGGATGATGATGCTGCTGATCATGATGATGCTGATGCTGTTGATGATGATGGTGGTGGTGGTGGTGATGATGGTGTATGCGTGTGTATTAATCTTGCGCTGGGGAAGAACTCCCACTTAGGATGTGGGGGGGGGGGGGGCACAGTGTGAAGAGATCGCGGGGTGCCCGAACACCATGACCCAGAGTTTTCCGCAACGTGCAATTTGTATTGTTTTTTCCATAGGGGTGGTGAGGGTGGGATTTCCTCATGGTTTCAGGTTTGTCGTCGGTCAGGTGGGGGAGCGGTTGCATATTGTTCAAGGTCGGTAGTCAATTCCGCCACGAAGGTGAAGACGGCATTGGAATACCTAACCCGCTGAACCAATCACGCCCTAATAGAGTTGGTCGGATTTGGTTCGTCACACCCCAGTGGGTTTCTGGATTTCGGCCCCGTCGGGACCCTGAATCTGTACACTGGCTTATTCGTGTACGCAGGCACTGTGGTGTACTTGCGCTGTGGGGCACGCGTACGAGTCTGAAGCAGGAGTTGTGGTGCGCACAGGCTCTGTGGTGTACATAGGCGTGGTGGTGTGCGCAGGCGCTGAGGTGTTCACGAGTGTTGTGATGTACCCAGGCACCGTGGCTTACACAGGTGCTTTGGTGCACACGGGTGCGGCTGCAGCAGCAGCTGTGGTGTACAGGACCGATTTGGTGCATACAGTCGTTGTTGTGTACAGTGCGCTGTCGTTCACAGGCGCCGCTAGGCTGAGGAAAGGGGTGTCGTGAGGCTGGGGGGGGGGTCTTGTGACGCTGGGGTGGGTGGTGCCGTGAGGCTGGGGCGAGGGGTGCCGTAAGGCTACGCAGAAAGGGGGGTACCATGAGAATGGGGAGGGACGTACTGTGAGGCTGGAGATGGGGCGCAGGTGCAGTGACTTTTGGGAATGGTGTATCGTGAGGCTGGGGAGGATGTACCGTGAGGCTGGAAACGGGGCGCCGTGAGGCTGGGGAGAGGGGTATCGTGAAGATGGGGAGGTGTTTACCGTGAGGTGTGAGTCTGCAAAGAGAGTGCTGTGACCTGAGGAAAGGAGGGACGGGCCACGAGGCTGGAGGGGAGGCGCCGCGATGCTGAGGCAAGGGTGCCGTGAGGGTGGGGGAGCTGCCGTGAGGCTTGGCAGTGAGGCGCCGTGAAGCTGAGAAAAGGGGGCGAATCGTGGGGCTGTGGGGCCATGGGGCTGGGGAGTGTGGGGGGGTGCTGTGAGGCTGGGGGCTCAACTGTCAGGAAAATGCGATGCGAGAGCTACATTTTGTTCTTTCGCGCGCGAGGTGCGCCCCGTCCCATTCCCGCCTCGCAGTTTGCAACGTCGACGGCAATACGCCCATGCTAAGAGGGAAAACGTGGACTTTGTATTGGTGTCTGATGGCCCCCCCAGGATCGAACATGATCGAGTGAAGGCATTTTCGTTTGCGTGTTGGTATTTAGATCCGGGGTCGAGTCCATGATATTTGGTCGAAGCTAAGGTGGTTGAACCTCGTACACGCCATGCACCTGTCTCTAGGGGGTACTGGTTACGATATGTTGCCAACGTTCCGTGGCCGAGTGCCACTCAGCAGCCTGAATAGTTAAACAGGACATGTTCTGAATGCTATCGTGCTCGCAGTTTGTCGTCGGCGTCGTCGGACATGGGAAAGCGCTGACAGCATTGCCATCTGTAGATAGACATTCGACCCTCATACTTTGTATCGTTTCGCCGTACGTGCCTTCTCACGCTACAGTCTGCGCAGAACCATGACGACATGTTGGTTAGCATTGGGTGTGTCGTTGCGTTTCCTGATGGCAGTGCCCGCGAACGCTTTAAAGCTGCCAGCGACCGATGACCCCCTTCAACAGCTATGGCCGAACTCTGACCAAGAGCAGCAACACAAACATGCAATCCTGAAGTGGCAGAAGAGGGAAATTGCAAAGCATGGGGCCCGCAAGGGGTCGATTTGCTATGACGGTTGTTGTGGGCTTGGACATCGGAACCATCGCACCCTAGGTCAGGCGATCCACGCCTGGGTGCATGGACAACCCTTGACTGTTCAGTGGCCATCATGTAATGGGGTGAACTCATGGGCATTGGTGCAAAATGAGCAAGTCATGCGTGAGAAATTTAAGGATTGGATTGGTCCAGGGGATCATTCCCACGAGTGCGCGATCAACGCTTCGAACGAGCCATACTACGACCCAGAGCAATCACGAGACTCGGGCTTGCATGCAGAACTCATGCGCTTTTACAGAGGTCCCGAGCATGAGCGACTGCAGCACCCAGTTACAAAATGGTACTACGCTATGCAGATGATCGGTTTCAACTTTTCCCCTCTGGGCAGCATTGCTGCGCGTTTTCTTCGGAAGGATTTTCATGGCCACGGGGCCGCTGTGATTGGCGTGCATCTGCGGCTGGGAAACGGAGAAAAGGCTGCCGTCCAGGACGATAGGCTTCCCAATATTTCCAGGCATGAAGTTTTCAGGTACGTGTCTCAGACAGCTGATCGGATCGCAACGGAGATGCTCGAAGTCAGCCCGAAGAAAGTTCGAATTTTTGTTGCATCTGACACGCATTCTGCATTGGAGGAGTTCCACAAATTTGATTCGCGCGTGTTCTTTTTCACTGGCGGGAATTGGCTCCAGGATAACCAGGGTGTCCCCATCGGCCATTCTGATGATGAGGCATGCGCTGACCTTGAACACACGGTGATGTTGGAAGCAGTGCTGATGGGATATGCCGATGTGTTGTTGACGCCCCAGTGGTCCGAACTTACTGCAATATCAAAGCACCTCGCGCTGAGCCGTGGTGGACAGTGGTGCGAGAACCAGCAGTGGACGGGCATGAGCGGCAACATACCAGACCCTGCTAACGGAGATATTGACGTCACCGCCGTTCGTGTTCAGGAGAGCCAGGAAGATCAGGGCGCAGCCAACGCAATGCACGAATGGGAGGCGATCTTGAATGGCTGTCCCGCGGAGCATTGCACTGCAGGCTACAAGTGTTATTCAATCGCTTCGCTCATTCCGCCGGCCCAGACCGTTTCATCGCGGGCGTGTGCCCGCGGTTTCGTTTCCGCCGCGTCGCTGGGAGGTGGCGGCCGTCTCCTGGAAGTGCTGCGTGGGAAATTTCGGAACCTCTTGGAGACATTTTCGGGACCTCCTGGAGCCTCCGAGGGGTTTGTCCGGGGAGCTCCCTGGGCTGCCTGGGAGCTTCTTGGGGGCTTCTTGGGCGCCCGCGGGGGCGGCTCGACATGCGAGTTCGGATTCCTTCTCGTGTGGCCTTTCTGGGGGCCTCGGGAGCTCTCCCGAGAGGCCTCTTGGGCCGTCTTGGGGCCCTCTTTGAACATTTTGATGCTGTCTTGGGAGCGTCTTGGGCTGACTTGGGGCGATCCTGGCGCTTGGTGGCCCCCTTGGCTGTCCTGGGCGGTCGGAGGCCAGAAAAGGCGGTGACGCCAAACTATTTAAACACCATGGTAAAATCAGTCGTTTTTGCCTGCTGGGGCCCTCTGGAGTGGTTAGTCAGGGGAGCTTTCCGGGCTTCCAGGGGCTCTTTCCCGGAAGCGGCTCAGGCCCAGGGCTTTCTTTTAGATGTTTCCACCCCGGCCTCGACGGCTGTACGGCTGGCCAATGTAATCTGCGATGAATAACCAGGTCGAGTAGGGCTGGCGAATTCAGAATTGAGGATTTCCCGAGCGAAACGCTTGTTTTGCAGAACTTGTTGAGAATGTCTCGAGCGACCGTTTGTTTTGTGTTATGATTGTCTTCTCCTGGGGACCACAATTAAGATAATCTATTCAGTGAAATCCTTGTTTTCACGTGCCCAGGTCTTGAGGATGTCTCGAGCGAGACGTTTGGTTTCACGCGTCCAGATTGCCCAGGCAGATGTCTAGCGTCTAGCATGAGGATTTGTTGAGGATGTCTCGAGCGAGACGCTTGTTTTCACGCGTCCAGGTCGCCTGGGTGGATGTCTAGCATGAGGATGTGTTGAGGAAATCTCGATCGAGACGCTTGTTTGCACGTGCCCAGGTTGCCCAGGCGGATGTCTAGCATGAGGATGTGTTGAGACTGCGTTTCGCGAAACGTTTGTTTTCATGTGTGCAGGTCGCCCAGGCACAGCATAGCCCTCGGCATGGTACATCATTGATGTACCATGCCGAGGGCTGTGCTGTGTATCGATCTTGATTCAAGATCGATACACTCAGCATTGCAACCTGGCGTGTTCCCTCGCACGTCCCTTTGCGCGTCCCGTGGCGAGTCCCCCTGGCACGTCGCGCGGCGCGTCCCCTGGCACGTCCCGTGGCACGTCCATTGGCACGTTCCGTTGCGCGTCCCCTTGGCACGTCCCGCGGTGCGTCCCCATGGCACATCCCCTGGCACGTCGTCTGGCGCGTCCCTTGGGACGTTCCGCGGCGCGTCCTCCTGGCATGTCCCCCTGTCAATTACAGTCGGCCCGGATTAGTAGGTCGACCCAGTTGGATCAGGGGTACCCTTGTGTCCTGTGTCTCGCGACCCATGCCTCCGACATTCCTATGGCAGTGTGCCCCTCGGAAAGGGTCTTTTGTCCTCTCGCGTGTCCTCTCCAATCAAGTCCGAGCTCTGGGGCAGCTGCTATGTGCTCAGGCAGCTCGAGCTTAAGATCCAGATCAGTTCGGTCAGGACTCGAATGTGAAGGAGGACCCGAACCACAAACCTATGGAGCACAATCGCGACACATCGCAATTCAGCACGGCGCAGCACAGCACAGCCCTCGGCACGGTACACCAAGATCGATACATTCAGCACTGCACTTGCCCGTCGCCCAATCAGGTGCACGTATTTGAAACGTTGCCATGCCTTACATTTCTATATTCCTTTCCGGACTCGTGGGGCGATCATGTCAGTTGCCGTCTTGGGCCCTGCTCGCGCCGCTCAGGCGTGGCCAGACTCGAATGGCTTTGAAAGAAACGACGTTTCCCCCCTATCCCAGTGCACCTGCGCGTGGGAATGAAGCTTCTGCGGCACGTGCCGCGGATCCCAGGGGAAGGCGCTCGTCTCGCCCGAAGCGGTCTCGCCCGCGACCGTTTCGCTCTCGCCCGCGACCGTTTCGCCCGCGGGCGAGACCGTCCAGGGCGAAACCTTCCCGGGCGCAGCCGTCACCGGGCGAAACCTGAATTTTGCTTTTTGGGGCCCTCTTGGGGTACACGTGGACACTCCTTGGCCGTCTTGGGCGCCTCGGGGACCGTCTTGAAATCATGTTTGGCGATCTTGGCGCCCTCTTGGCCTGACACCGTGGGGCCTGTCCCCTGTATGGCGCCTCCTGAGGGCGCCCCTGGGGCGCTCTGGGAACACTGATGGCCGCGTCCAGGAGTTCTGGCATTCCTGATCCCGGCCCAGCCGGGACCTTGGGCTGATATTTCGGGGGCGTCTGGGGGCCGCCTCACACGCGCGTGTTAGAAGCATCCGGACCTCTTACCAGAGATTTTAGCATGCCTCTGGCCCGTTGGGCCGGCGAATTATGAGAACCATGGGCTTCAGTCTCGCGTGCTTACTGTGCAATGATTTTCCATTCGGTAGTTTCGATGGCACCTGCGGCGCTGCTTCTTTTGATGCTCCACAAGGCGACGTTTATGGGTGCCGAATGGCCGCGTGCAAAGGCATAGTTCCTCAGCATGTGCACTCGGCATTCCAGGCTAAGACTGATCAGCCTGGAGAGTCAGCGCCTTACTTCTGTTCTGGCGTTAGCCATGAAAACAACGTCCTGCCTGCCATGATCACGAGTCTCTCTCTTTCTCTTTCTCTTTCTCTTCATCTCTCTCCTTCTCTCTCTCTCTCTCCCTCTCTACATATATATATATATATATATATATACATATATATATATATATATATATATACATACATAGTGGCCTTCGGCCCGTCCACTACCGCGCCTGGGTCGTGGGCCAGAGAACGAGGCCTGTTGGTGTCTCTCGTGAAGGGACTTCTATGGCGTCCGGGATGCCTCTTGGGGGCCTCTTGGGGCTTCTGGGGGCCCTCTGGCGGGCTTGCTGGCGGTCTCGCAGGCCATGTTGGGCGAGGGCCCCCGTGGCCGGTTCGAGTTCCGCGTTTTGGGCTTTCGACTCTCCGAATCCGATCAACGCTCGTGGGCTGGGCGGGCGGCTGGGGCCAGAGTTTTGAAATTGAGGACCAGGGACGTGGAGGCACGCCACTCAGTGCTTCGCGGCTTGGCGGCAACAGCGCGTTTTTTGCGCCGTTTGCCCAGCTTTTCCCGGGAACGTGTCCAGGACAGAGCCTCGTCATCAGTACTTGCCGTCGTCATCCTCGGATCCGTTCTGCAAGCCGGTATGCCCACCGGCGCTGCCCAGCCTGCCGCGGGCGCAGCATCGCTGCAGGGGGGGAGGCGACGCGCAAGGCCCGCCCCGTTCCGGCGCCCCGCCTGAACTGGCGTGGGTGCAAGGGCAGCCTTGGGACAACTCCGCATTCTTACACGCCGGTCGTTGAAAGTAGGTATTTGTGGATTCCCAGATCCCGATCTACTTCATGCGCCTTCCTACTTCAAGGGTCGACATGCTTTTGCTGTGTTTTGTTATTCTCTGGAGGACCTGGGCCCAATCTACTATATCCGCCGTCCTACTTCATGTTTCTACCTACTTCTTCCGACCGACGAGTGCCATGCGGGCCGACTGTGCCGTGTCCATCGGTGCTTCCGCGCCGCAGAAGTCGACCTTGAGCGCCTTCGCCGGCGTCGCCTGCGCGCCGACGCTGCAGTGAAACCTACCGCACCTGGAGGTCGGGGCGCTCGAGCCTCGCATTTCGCTCCTGGTCCGCAGTCCCGGCGCCTTCTGCCGCTGCCGCGCACGCGCTGAGCGAAGCCCGTCGCGCTTCACAGCCGCGGCGCCCGTGGCCCACTGCGACAGGGGGCTTGGAGCGGGCACCGCGCCCGCAAGCCTCTGCCTCCGGTGGGCCCCACCTCAGACCAGGCGAGCTCGGACTTCACGCGCCCTCTGGCGCCGTCCCGCTGCCCTCGCACTGGCACCGCCCAAGCATCCTACGATCTGTGTGTATACATGCATGCAGGCATGCATGTATGTATGTGTGTATGTATGCAGGTATGTATGTATGTATGCGTGCAGGTATGTGTGTATGCATGCATGCATATGAGAATGCATGCTATGCATGCGTGTATGTATGTATGCACGTATGTATGTATTCATGCATGCATGCATGTATGAATGTATGTGTGTAGGTATGTATGTGTGTATGTGTGTATGCCTTTTACGTGTCGACGCGTGTACGTGTGTATATGTTTATGTGTGTATGTGTGTATGTGTATGTGTGTGCATGTATGTGTGTATGTGTGTATGTGTGTATGTGTGTGTATGTGTATGTGTGTATGCGTGTACGTGTGTACACGTGTATGTGTGTATGAGTGTATGTGTGTATGTGTACGTGTGTATGTGTTCATGTGTGTACGTTTGTATGTGTGTATGTATGTATGCATGTGCGTGTATGTGTGTATGTGCGTGTATGTGCATGTATGTGTGTATGTATGTATGCGTGTGTACGTGTGTATGTGTGTATGTGTGTATGTGTGTATGTGTGTACGTGTCTATGTGTGTATGTGTGTATGCTTACGTATGCATGCCAGCATGCATGCACGTATGTATGTTTGCATTCGTGTATGTCTGTATGTATGTGTGTGTGTGTGTGCGTGCATGTATGTATGTATGTGTGTATGTGTTTATGTGTGTATGCGCGTATGTGTGCGTGTTTGTATGTTTGTACGTGTGTATGTCTGTATGTGTGTTCGTGTGCATATGTGTGTATGTGTGTATGCATGTGTGTATGTGTGTTTGCTTGCATGCATGTATGTCTGCATTCATGTATGTCTTTAAGTCTGTGTGTCTGTGTGTATGTGTTCATGTGTATAGGTGTGTATGTGTGTGGTCATGTGTATGTGTGTATATGTGCTTACGTGAGTATTTGCATGTATGTGTGTATGCGTGGGTGTGTTGTGTGTGCATGTGTGTATGTGTGTGTATGGGTGTATGTGTGTATGTGCGTATATGTGTATGTGTGCATGTGTTTATGTGTGTATTTATTCATGCATGTATGTATGTGTGTCTGTATGCATGTGTGTATTCGTGTATGTATATATGCAGGTATGTATGTATGCACGCATGCAGGTACATCTGTATGGATGCATACTGTCATGTATGTATATATGTGTGTATGCGTGTATGTGATAATGTGTGTGTATGTATGCATTTGTGTATGCTTGTGTGTTTGCATGTTTGTATGTGTGTATGTGTGTATGTGTGTATGGGTGTAGGTGTGTGTGTGTATGTAAATGTGTATGTGTGTATGAATGTATGTGCGTATGTGCATGCATGAATTCATGTATGTATGTATCTGTGCGGGTTGGTGTGTGTATGTGTGTATGTGTGTGTGTATGTGTACGTGTGTATGTGTGTGGGTGTATGTGTGTATGAGCGTATGTGTGTATGATGTGTGCGTGTATGTAATTGTGTGTGTAAGTGTTTAGGTGTGTATGCATGCATGATTGCATGCATGCATGTATGGATGTATGTTTGCCATTTATGAATGTATGTATGTATGGATTCGTGTATGTATGTATGCGTGTCTGTGTATGTGTGGATATGTGTATGTGTGTATGTATGTATGCATGTGTGTCTGGATGTAAGAATGTATGGATGTATGTATGCATACATTCCCGGATGTATGTGTGTGTGTGTGTGAGTCTGTATGCATGCATGTGTGAGTATGTATGTCTGTATTTCTGTCTGTCTGTCTGTATGTATGCATGTCGATATGTATGCATGTATTCATGTCTGCATGCTTGTTTGTATGTGTGTATATGTGTGTATGCATGCATGCATGTATGTATGTGTGTATGTTTGTATGTGTATATATGCGTGTATGCATGCATGTGCGTATGTATGTATGTATGAATGTATGTATGCATGCATGCATGTATGTATGTATGTATGTGTATTTGTCTGTCTGTCTTTCTGTCTGCCCGCCAGTCTGTATGCATGTATGCATGTATGTATATACGCATGCATTTATTTATGTATGCATGTATGCATGTAGGTATGTATGTATGTGCATGCATGTATGGATGTCTGTCTGTCTAACTGTATGTATGTATGCATGTATGCATGTATGCATGTATGCATGTATGCATGTATGCATGTATGCATGTATGTATGTATGTATGTATGTATGTATGTATGTATGAAGGTCCGCATGTCTGTGTGCATCTATGTTTGCCTGTATGTATGTATGCATGTATGTATGTATGCATGCATGTATTTATGTATGCATGCATGCATGTACGCATGCATATTTTGCATATGTGTATGTGTGTATGTGTATGTGTATGTGTCTGTATGTACGTGTGTATGTACGTATGTATGTATGGATGTAGGTAGGTACGAAGGTAGGTCGGCAGGCAGGTAGGTAGGTCTGTCTGCCTGCCTGCCTGCCTGTCTGTCTGTCTGTCTGTCTGTCTGTCTGTCTGTCTGTCTGTTTGTCTGTCTGTATGTTTGCATGTATGTACGTCTGTGTGTGTATATATTGATATATGCACACCTGTGTGTGTCGGCCACGCACGGGCGACTCGCACGCTGGGATTTCTTCAAGTCTGGGCTCCGTGGCGGGCGCTCGCTGGTCATACCGCTCGGGAGTCAACGCTCTACGAGATGTCTGTGCCATCGGTTCGGGTCGGACGTGCGCCTCCAACAGAGGCACGTCGTACCAGTATGTCCCCATGCGCCTCATCGCGCCCCGTGCTGATAGGGGCGGCGGGGGAGCGAGCGCCGCCAGGACGGGGGGGGCGCACCGCCAGCCCCAGGCCCCTCCAGCAGGTGCGCAGGGGCCGGCCCGCCCGCGCCTCTTCCTCGGGGCGCGAGGGCTCCGGCGGGGCTCTCAGCGCCGACGGGGGTCGGCCAGTCCGCTCTCTGCCTCGGGCACTGACAGAACGGCCCCCCCCCCCCCGCCACGTCGACTGAGCAAGTCTGCACGGGTTCACTCGGCAGTGGCAGTCGAGGGTGCCGGTGAAGTCCACCGTCGGCTTCGCTGATGGACGTGACGTGCGTTTCGCTGGGAGCTTTCGGCTGTGGTTGGACGTCGAGGGGCTGTCCCGCCGGGGTCCATGCAGAGTGCGGTGCCGTGCGCACGTGGAGCGCCCCTGGCAGCTTTTGCTGGGGGGCGTTCTGCCAGGGGTGGTTCTGTCCACCCCCGGATTCCTGTGCCGTGCTGTTCCCTTCCTTCCGCCGACCCGGGCTCGGGATCTGCTTCGTGGGCGGATTCGCTGCACCCGGCGGCGAACTTCGAGCCCTGCCCTCGCCGAGCAACGATGCAGGGAGATCAGTGGCTGGTGGGTGTAGGGCTCGGATGTAGTCGCCTAGACATGGCCCTAGCCCGCCCGGGTTCGCGCTGGCCCCGATCCGACGCGGCTGCGGATATGGGTTGGTGTGGCTAATCTTGCCCAGATGCAGCGCGGCAGTGCAACAGGAAGGAGGTTGAGCTTGAGACCCGCTCCAGTTCAATACCCTGCGGATCTTCAACATCGCCTTCTTGTCCGCAGCCTCGTTCTCCACTTGTTCCTTCACCTCGAGGGCTTCTTGGGGGCCTCTCTGGGGTCCCTTGGGGTCCTCTTGAGGCCCTCTTGGGGGCGATGGGGCTACCGAGCTCCCCCGAAAAGGCTTTGTTGAATCATTGGGAACGTCTGGCCTGGTCTTGGGGCCGAGGAGTTTAGACGTTGTGGGGGTCAGCGTCGGTTCCCGGGGTGAATTGCAGAGTGGGGCGTCC